AAGTTCACAAGCGCTGGCGGATTGGCCAGCTGTGCCCTGAGCTGTCATGGTGTGTGTGTTGATTTGCATCATGATTTGCTCAGCTTTGGTAACACAGAACAAAAGTACTTGGACTAGCACATCTGGAGAAACTATCATAGGTCCAACAGAACATATTTTCTCAGACTGCCTGCCATGCTTCACTTATGACATGGGCATCCTCACTACATAGGAACCACTATGTCTCACTGGTCTGATATATAGAAGGCCGATTTGTTGCTTCACTTTGCTTTGCTGCTTTGCCATTCTAGGTATAAGACAACACATAAGCATTAGAAAGTGATTGGAAACATCACAGTAACATAATAGTTAATTAAAACAGGCTTTATTTAGGTTCAGAAACTCTAGATGACCACAGGTCTAGATGACCACAGGTCCTCTTGTGGGTGGGAGAATTCCATTCCCTAAAAAATAGGGGCAAAACCAAACTACACACTTTTCAAAAAATCGAAATGCATATACTGCAGTCATAGTACCAGAATAAGGTAAATCATCTGACACAGAGCTCCATGCTACCAAGCTAGACAGGTAAGAAATCTCAAGATAGCTCAAGAGTGCTAGGCTCTGATGACCTCTCACTGCACTTTTGTCACTTTATGGCCTAGAGAGAACAGACCAAGGTGGAGGTTTTTCACAGTGTATTAACATGGATCTCTGAGCCATGCTAACTTTAACACATACATTGGTATTGAATTCTCTCTGGCTATATCCTAGTTGAAAGGCAAATGCATTTTGCAATATGCCCTGCAATCCTGATTCCCAAATGTTCATACATATTGTGGTTCCATTTCTGCACCTGCATTTTTTTTGACACAAACTAGAATGTATGCATCCAAGTTTAGTCCTAATGTGCAATCACTATGTGGCCAGGTTATGCACTTAGACATAAGAGCTGGAAACTGCTCCAGTGTCCTACTGTTAAGACTTACCCACTTTATCAGTTTGCCTTATGTCAATGATTTCTTAAAGAATTAAAGGAATAAAGACTTAGTAACAGCTCCATTTATACTTAATATGTTAGAACAAAGTTTCCATAAAATGCTATTTTAAAATATCTGGATAACTAAAAATACAGAACTATTATTTGTGAAGAATGTTTTTGTTTGTTTAGATATAATTACTTTCATATTCTCCAGATTAAATGTCTGCAGCATTTGTAATTAAGCACTTCCATGAATGTTCACTTGAATGTAACTGAAAACAAACACATAGAAAAATGAAATATCTGCAGGTGTTGAATAAGATAATTACATGTAGCTTTCCTACTTATTTGCAGCTCTTAACACTAATTATAGGATGTGTTTAAAGAATATCTTGAGCTGGATGGATTTCTTACAATAATTAATATCTTCTAATTTTAAAACTATCAAATTTGTTTTCAAGGCTCAATTTACAATTGTAAATTGTCACACCTCATTGTTACACATTTGCTGGGTGACCCTAGGACTTCAGATTCTACGCTACACACACTGACACTTCAGGACACTGAACAGAAGACAGTTTGACTGAAGGGCTGGACAGATCTCCTCTTAAAGATTCACACTTATTCAGTACATTTGACTGTGCATTGGCTGACAGTCTTTGGTGTGGATGACACCAACCATCTGACTAGCTTGGTTTAGTTTATCTGAAAACATACTCCACCAAACTTCCATTATTTTTGTTTTTTGGGGGACTAGCAAGAAGTAATCCTTCAGGTAAATTAGTGTCTTCCAAGGATATTTCATTTTTTACTGCCAGTAAACAAAATGGGCAGTAAGGAATCATAATGTTTCTTTTCCCAGCTACGTATTTGGTTCACAGTCACCTGCTGGCTATGAAGAGGTTCCAGTCTACCAAACTGAACAGCTTATGGCATGAATCAACAGTGCAGCCTTTTAAGGTTAAAGGTGATTTCATTGAATTCTGAATCACTTCCAAAAATCCTTCCCAAGACTTTTCCATATTGTGACACTTAGCAGGTATGAAGAATTATTCCAAGTCCCTTATGGCAATGTGCGGTCACAGGTGTTTTCATGTTAGTGCTCTTTAACCTCTTAATTCTTGACCAGATTTGGCTGCATTTTAAAGATTCATTAGAGAACCAGTTTTGTCTGCAAAATACTGGCTTTCTGCCAAAAAACTGAGATCTTGTGAACTACAGAGGAGGATTAATCAAACCTCATGGAATTTTGAAATACTTCGAGGTATGTGGGATAGCACTGCATCTCTTAGTCACATACATCTGTAGCCCTCATCTAAAATTCAAGTGAATTTTCTGTTCATGGAATGAATATTTCATTTCCAAACGATACAGAGCAGAATTGAGACACCTTAGCCTACACATCTCCTTAAGTATCTAAACAACAGAATGAATAAATCTGTTCCTTTGACAGTATTTCTTTTGAGATACCCAGCTGACTAAGTATATTGAAGAAGGTTTCTGCCACATTAGACAGAGTGACTGTTTCTGCATACTGAATGGGAAAGCCATCACCACAACTATGGCTGTTTTTCCTAATTGAATATGCCATAGGTATGGCTCAATAAAATCCATTGAGAAGCTGGAGAATACTGTTTAATTATCAAAAAATTGTGAAGAAGTGGTTTGCAAAGATCAATAATTGTTTTCCACATTTCCTATTATTTTAATTATTTTCCAACTGATAAAAATCAGATGATCTGAATCATAGAATCATTTGGGTTGGAAGGTATCTCAAGAGGTCATCTAGTCCAACCTCCTAGTCAAAGCAGGGTCAACACTGAATTCAGACCAGGTTGCTGATAGCTTTGTCAAGTCAGGTCTCTAAATTCTCTTGGCTGGAGATTCCACAGCCTCTCTGGGGAACTGATCCAGTACTTCACTACCGTCATAGTAGAATTTTTTTTCCTTATATCCAGATGGAACCCTTCAGATTCAATTTATGACCGTTGTTTCTTGTCCTCCTACCATGCACTTCATTAAAGAGCCTGCCTTTGTTGCCTCGATAAATTTCTCTTAGATATTGGCAGGGTGCTATTAGGCCCCTCTGCCCAAAGGCCTTCTTTCTCAAAGCTAGATAAGCTCAGTTCCCTCACTGGTCATGTGCTTCAGTCCCCAGTCATCTTGGTGGCCCTTCACTGGACTTGCTCAGGCTAATCCACATCTTTCTTGAAGTGGGAGCCCAAACTGAACACAGTACTCCTGATGTGATTTAGTAAGTGCTAAGTCACTAACCCCGACCTACTGCCTATGCTCCCACTAACACAGCCCAGGATCCTGTTAGCCTGCATCACTCCCAGGGCACCCTACTGCCTCATGTTCAACTTGCTGAACCTACACTCCAGGTCCTTTTCAGCAGAACTGCTACCCTGGCTGTTAGTCTCAATATGAACCAAAATGCAGCTGCTTCCTGTCATACTTCTAATGCACATCTGTTTCTATGATACAAATGTATGTGTGTGCTGGCACATGTGACGAGAATCAATAATATACCCTCTCATATGGTCAGGCCATCCATCAGTTATGAGATGAGAGACAACTCCACTTCAGTTCTGTGATGAACCCACATACAAACCCACACTCAAACACTTGTCCACTGCATTACAAAAATACAAGTTTCCTGTACACCAGAAGAGAAGTGCACTCTGGGCAAAAAGTTTAAATGCAGCAAACATAACCCAAGTTCCTTTATTTTGTAGTTTTGCTCTTTTCACCAGTTCTCTTTTCTCTCCCTTAACATATTATAGTCATTCCAGAATATTGTGAATAATAAAGAAATTAAACACTTCTGATATTTTTCTGTACATCTCTATTTATCTGCAAGTGCAAATCAATGTTTTAAATTAGTCTAAGTATTTTAATTAGGACTGAAAAAAGTTAGACTGAGATGGAATTATTATAAAAGTATACTATCAAAATCAACTTTACACAGTATGTTCAGTGTGCTACAACTTGTAAAACCTAAAACCTGCATAATAAAATGAATGAAAACAACAGATGACAGTGGGAAGATGTTACTTTCCAACACTGAAAGGGTAGCTTAGATTTGACTCAGTTCAAGTACTGGCATGTAAACTGAGACTTTAAACATTTTTGACCAGTAGATTTTTTTAACCCAACTACAGATATAGACAACTATAGATAAATGTGTGATAATGCAGGACCATTAGACCGTGCCAGAATTGAAACTGTTCACAATAAAGTGCACTACCATTAGTGCAGGTATAAATTCAATGTTAATAATAACATTACATCATAAGTCAACTCTTACTTTCAACACATTTACCTGAACATGAAACAAAATGAAAAGGCTGCAAACAGTGAATCTTTCAGGAAATTGATGAAAATTGAGAACTCCTACTATCTCCATCTCTAAAGCCATAATCATCTCTCCTGTGCCAAAGGAATAACTCTTCTGGCTTCAACTAGTCAGACGAAACTTTGCTAGAAAATTCTTTTTGAAAGAAAAATTCTTTCTAGAGTAAAGTCTTTGCAGAATGTGTTCATACTTAACTCCTAAAATAAGAATTTTTATAAGCAAATGTAGAATTCACTGAAACAGCTCCAGGTAAACTAAGCCTTTGTATTATTCTATCTTAATTTGTCTCCATATTTGGTTACATGCAGTATCTAGGTGACTTCCTGCCATACTAGGCAACTATCCATAAAGGTAACACAACTTCTTTTGCAAGTCACTTGAGAATGACAAAATGTTGATGTGATGTCACTACCAGCCTAGGTCAGAGTCAAGTCAAGTACTCTAGAGGTGAATGTCCACATCATATTTCCATTCCCAACAACCACCCAGCAGTAGTAACTTTAGCACTGAAATACCGTTCCCTAATTCACTACTTAACCAAACATTTTTACGACAAAGTTCAGAAAATTTGAGGTACACAGTAATATTCAAGAACTATTTCAAATGAAAGATCTCTTCTTTTGACTATGCTAAACCCCTTCAATAATTTGAACTCCAAGTAAGAAAAACCTTCCACCTCACCTTCACCACTCCATTTTCATGCATGGTGATACAGTTGTTGGGATCCTCTGAAAGTTGATATAAAGCCTGAGCTGTAGCTCTATGAACTGAAGGATCATTTGACTTCAAGTAACGTACTAAAGGAGCTACAGCCTTCGTCTCTCCAAAGGTAACTGTATTGCTCCCCCACATGCAACACTGGGAAATGGCCTCTGCTAAGTGACGTCTTAATTTGTTGTTGTTCTGAAGAAGGTAAAAACAATAAATTAAAGACAACAAAATACAACAAAAATTTCACAGGAAAGCAGAATTGTATTCTCAAACATCTTTAAGGCATTCCAATTTAACTGCAGTACAATTAAAAACTGGAGAGAGCTATAAGGCATGGAGCTAGTAGTCCCTTATCATTCCCTTTGTAGGAAGCGCTGTGAATTTTTATATTATTTCAAAGGTGCTTTTAGACTGACTGGAAATTAGGTAAGAATAGCAATAAAATGTAACATATAGCCCCATCATTGAGATTCTCTGCATGGTTCAGATTTATTGCTCTCTCAACCCTTTGTGCTTTTTTCATATGGCGGCTGCATCTCTGAAAAGCAATATTCAGCAGCAGTGACTACTAAAATGAAGCTCATCTTCCAAAGCAATTTTAGTACCAGCCACAGAGTGTTTTCATGTCCAATATACATCTCATAGAGGAAGGATTCCACAGCTCTTCCTTGTAGCTGCTGCAAAATTTACTGCTCTTGTCATAATCTTTCAGTTGGGTATAATGCAGTCTGACATAAGAAATTCAGACACTTAGTATAGTATGTTTAGATGTTACTTACTGTGTTTGCTAGTTTGGACAACAGAGGGACAACGCCATGGTCTGTTATAACAGCTAAATTTTCTTCATCTTTAGCTATATTTGTAATGGCTGCACATACACTTGCTAACACTTCTTTATTCTTTGATTTTAGCAAATTGACTATCAGTTCCAAGCCACCAACAAAGGATCGAACCATTTCCCCAGCATCCTAAATGAGAATAAAAAGAAACATTATTTTTAAATATTCAATCTGTATTTATGTGCAAATGTTAAAAAAAGAGATTGACATAACATAATCATTCAAAACTGCAGCTATTGCTGTGTTGCCTTAACCAAGAAGTATGGCTAATTCAGAACTCAGAGCTCTCTTGACTGACGTATTAGAGGTTGATTGTTTTACATACCATCATCTGGGCAGAAATTCAATGCCTAAATAAAGCTATCTAGTGTCATTTTAGATACCACAGTGTATTCTTTATGGCCTCAAGCTGTCACTCCAGAAGGGTGCAAGTCTCCCTTATCTGCTGTATCATATTTGCCAGGTGGGTGCCTCACATACCTTAGGGCATCTAAACCAGCAATAGACATCCCTGTTTAGGCTCTCATAGTGTCTTCTATTTCCTATGTTAAGTCTGACAGCTAAGACAAAGCAAGGGTAATATTATTTTCTTGTATCAATGCAAACAAGTGTTCAGGAATATTTAAGACAGGAGGTTACACAAGTCATGAACAGCAACTGTGAGAGAACCATAGTGCACCTCAGAGTATGAAGAATCAATGTAAAATGTGACTAAAGGACACAGACACAACTCTGGAAAGATGTCTAAGTATGCTCTTAGAAAAGAAACAGAAAACTAAACAGTGTGCCTTGATCTTGAATACAGTATGCAGATCTGGTCCATCTGTTCCATCCTGAAAAAGTTATAGTAAAATTAGAAAAGGTTTAGAGAAAGATGACAAGAATAATCAAAGGTAGGGAACTGCTCTGAAGAAGGAATGACTAACCAACTAGAGACTAGAACACTCAAGGCAATAAAAGAGAAAAACTAGCATGATAGTGGTGTATAGAAACTCGCATTGAATGGAAAGGACACATAGGGCTCTCTCTTCTAGGAGAAGAACTGGGAGCATCAGTTAGCAGGTGGCATGTTCAGAATAAAACAAAGTTATTTTCAAATGAAGCATAGTTAAGATGTGAAGTCCTTGGAGCAGGATTGCAGTGGCTGTTAGAAGTTTACATGTTAGAAATTAACTACATAAATTCACAGAAAAAAAATAATCCATTCAGGGTTATTCATTATAAAAGTATTCCCTCTGATTTAGAAAGTTCCTAAGCCACAGATTTCTTGAAGGTGAAAGAGCATTCTGGGGAGGGAACCATGGCTATAAGTTTGCCCTGTTCTTCTACCTTTCCTTAGGCATCTCTTGTGGGTTTATATCAGAAACAGAATACTGTGTTAGTGGATCTTTGGTCTGATACATCATTGGCTGTTCTCACATTCTTGTGTTTATTAGTGAATTCAAATTATCAAGCACATGTTTACATGTCAATGTGTAAAACAGAGAAAACCAGCAGTTTTGGCACTGTGAGACTGAACTAAGAGGTATGGAATTCATTTGGTTGCCTCAAGCAAAGAGGAAGTGTCAGTATCTGGTAAAGTGACATGCAGCATACAGTACTTTGTGTGCCTTTAAAAGCACACAGGGTATAAATCTAAGTTTTGTTTAAGCACAAATTCTTAACTGATTAAGTTACATAGTCACTGACCAATGCTGTACACCAAGATTCATTGCACTCGGTTAAACTGAGATGCTTGAAAGTATCTCTTTCTTTGGTAAGATGTTCCACCATGTAAGATTACGTTACTTTAGAAAATCTTTTTTAGTTTCCTCATGGATAGAAGCAATGCCAGAATAGAAAAATTTCTACCTCTTTGAATGATTTTTTTACATGTTTATTCAATCTATGGGTAACTCTAAGCAACATTTTGCCAACAACCATCTAGGAAGGGTTCTCAGGATGCCTCGTTATACAGAGTCTGAAAGACAACACTGTAAAATGCAGCAGTATTTTCAGAAACTTCATTGTAAATGTAATAATTAGCAAAGGGGTGGATGGAACTTCAAGTGCCTAACCTGAGGATATCAAGTATTGCAATGTAATCTGAAGAAATCACCATTTCTTCTTGAATGGGCCCATAAGTTACTTCGGTTGAGTAGACCTCTATACTAAGCATAGATAATTGTGGTTTATCAGGACTTCTTTATACAATCTATAATCCAGCCCGACATATTTTGTTAGATTTTCAACCTTTCAGATGTGGATCTGGAAAGATGACTGGTTCTCTTAAAGTTCTTTGTCCAATAATTATGAAATAGATACAGGTCAGAAACCACTGTGGGCAAGAACTTCAGGTGTTTTGTGATGGTCATCTAATTTTTACAGAACTATTTACTAAGAGTATGCCATTAGTGCCCAAATTGTACCCTTCACAAAGGGTACAGAAAATAGGAACTGAACATAGGTCAGAGTAGATTCTTCGTGACATCATGGTGGCACATCTGCAGGTGGCATTGGATGGCCTAATGTCAGACTGTTATTACTCTGGAAAGAGAGTAAAAGTGATGGCCAAATGGTTAGCAGTAGTTTTGCATAAAAAATTTTAGCCTGTGCACCTCAATGATGGTAAATGTGCAGAGATGTAAAGAAAGGTCTGCAAGTGGAATTACTTCAACAGGTCAATACGAGAATTTTGAATAAAAACTACCAAGACACTCTCCTGAAACCCTTTTGGACTGAAAGGTCTTAGGACTTCAAGAAAGTGCAAACATGGATCATATGAACTTTCCAAGGGCTAGGGAGTGGCCCTGAAACCAAGAATGGTTTTGATTACATTTATTTCTTTTTGAGGGCTGATTTATGAACAGAGTAGAGTCTAATTGTATTGTGTTAGCTTTACTGAGCAAATCCATCAAATTGCTCATGGACTTGGTAAATGAAAATTCCAGAAGATGCTGCAGTTCATCTTTTTTAGTTCTGTGTCTAAATGCCAAACATCAATGCTATGATGTTTCCTTCTCACAGAAAGCAAAGGCAGTGGGTAGGCCCATCAGGAACGAAACATTTTCCACCATAGTCAGTGCAATTCTTGAGACTGGAAGGGAGAGGTTAAAGCCATATAGTGGGAGAGCTTAAAGCCATACAGTGTGAGGGTCAAAACCAGAAGGAATAGGATGTGGAAAAAGGTTAGAATCCAACAGCAAACTTTGTGCTGAAGTCTTAAAAAACCCAGAATGAACATATAACAGAGGTCCTTACAGAAATTAAAAGAGGATCTAAATGTTTATGCCAGAAGAAGGACAACACAGCTTTGTGACTCAGAAAAGCAGCTGAGAGAAACAGAGAAGGAAGGGCAATGCTCTGGCACTTCTATTACCATGTGAGTTGCATGTAAAGGGAGGTGGGTTTACAGCGTGTTTCCCATGGACAGGCTAGCATACATGTTTTTCTATCATTGCTAGTGCATACATACCACAATGTAAATATATCTACAGACAATCATCTGAATAAAAACAATATTTCTCAATATCAGTTTTCATGTCTGTCTTGAAATTTTAAAATTTGACCAAAGGTGGTGGATAATGGGTTACAGAGAAAGATTTCTACCCAGAAATTTCTTACCTATATGTATTAGGTGGCTAGACAGCTAAATGACCAGACACAGGAAAAGGAAAGAAAATGAGGTATTTTACATTTACTTCAGTTCCTTGAAAGTTACTACAGAAGTGCGCATTACCTTGTGTCTAAATATCATCTCTGAGAAAGGCTTCTGTTCAACAGGTAAACTCTACAGTAAAGTGTCTAAGATTTTAAAAGGGCCCTGCTATACATGAAAATTATTCTGCTTTTCTGTATGGTTCAGATATCTGTGTATTATTATTCATGTTCTTGAAAGGTGTTTCATGAAGAGATAAGATAATTGTATCCCATCTTAATGAACTAATATGTACATTTTATATTTTCCTACCTGTATATATTTTCTTTCCAGGTGATTACAACCCTACTTGTTAAATTTCTCTTCTGACAAGCTTATACTTTCCACATTTTGTAAAGGACTACAGTCCAATTAAACTGCTGGAATAATACATAAACAATCCAGTAGTAAGTAAAAGAAAAGCGTTTCAATAATCGTCTGTGAAACCAGTTAAACACAAGGACAGAATCTTCTACCAGTGATGAAAAGCAGAGGGAAATTGCAGAAACCACATGTCAGGAAAGCTTCCCAAATGTGATTCTGGGTGTAGTCTGGTGGTCTGTGTAAGACAAAGAGAAAAGTAAAGAAGCAAGAAATTTGAAGAACAATGAGCAGAAAAAAGGACTGAAATGAGAGCTTTAAAAGCCATATTTTTTTTTTTTTCCTAAAGAAATTCAAACAACAAATACAACCTTTTTGGTATCATTTAGCAAAACCACATACGTGCTTTGTACAGTAAATTTCTACTTTTTTTTTTTTTTTACTGAAAGATGTGTATTTATTATATACAATTGCCCTACTTTAAAGATATTTAAAGAAGAAATTATATGAAGTTGTGCCTGTGATTGCGGAGGTCTGGATTTAATTCTTTTGAATTAATGACTAGACAGCTGTTCACACTATAAAGTCTAAATTTCTGTGATTTTAGTTTCCAAATACTCTCAGGCATTTTCATCTATACATATTTTTGTAACATAAGAGAAGAAATATCATATATAACATGTCCTTGGAAATATTTTTTTACTTTTTGTTTCATATAGAAGAAAATGCTATCTTTAAATTCCACCTTCTAAATTAATCAAGACCCAACTTTTTTTGTGTGACTTAACCCAAAAGGTTTGTAATTTCTAGCTATTAGTGCGTGTTTAGCTTTCATATTTACCTGTAGCCCCTAAACCTCACTGCAGATACGCAAATGACATTGTTTCAAAGTCTGGGTAGTTTATGATTGGGTAATAATGGGAAGTGTTCCAGTTCCAGCCCAAGACTATATTTATACTTTAGCATTTACATACTGCAAACTTTAATCTATTAATATAGACATTAAACTACATTACTTTCTTTAATGTTACATATGAAGTCATTCAACAAACTTCAAGTATTTTGAAAAGCTTGGAGAACTTCTTAGGATACAGCTATACAAAAAACAACTTGAAAAAAAAGAAAACTGCAT